ACTTACATAGAAAAAGTGAATAACTGGGATATATCTTTGCTGGTATGCCTCACTGCTTTGCGTGTTTGTATGCTATGAACTAATAGGTTCTCATGTTTTCACTGTGTTCTGAGCCTTTGACTCATTGTGGAATATTGAGCATGATTAGGAGAGAGACTTTTGCCGTTGTGAAACTTCAGATACAGTTAAAGAGATAAAACTTGCATGGAAAAATAATTTGAAGAGGAATAGAAATACTAGCTTGTGTGCTACAGATGTGAATGCTACTGAGTTACAAAAAGAATCAAAAGATCTTCATGGACTGTAAAGAAAGTACTCATTTAAGTAGTGAAATTTTACAGCTTGTAGGAAATTTTTAAAAAATGATTGGATAGAAAGTAAAGAGGAGTTCATTAAAGGTAAAGAAAGACAGACTAAGGCCATGGAAGCAGGGAATAAGGTGGCCGTACAGGGGCCAAGAGCAGTAGGAGCTGGGAAGACAGATTTGATTCTAGTGTCGTCTAGGTTGCGTTCACCACGTGCCCTTAAAAGTAAGACATTTTCTTGGGCTGCTGTCATGACTTACAATGTTTATTAAACATTCACAGGAATGAAACAGGCCATGCATTCTTTATGCTTGTTGCTTTTATTCAAATATAGAGTGAAAATAAATTTACAAATAAAATATAAAATACAGACACCATTTAAATGTTTATTTAACATGATGGTTTTTGTTCGCTGAAATAAGATCTCTCCATGAACGTTCTGTGTGATGCAGACTACCACATAGGTGTGCATTTGTGTGTGTGTGAAATCTCTCTCCACAGCACCGTGTGTCATATGATGATTCAACACCCCCACACTTTATTCAAGTGACTTTAAAATCTTTATGTCCATTACTACGTAGGAATGTTGTTTGGTTTTCATTTGGCTGGAATGTATCATTAACATGTTAAATCCATCTTTGTTCTTAGCTAAAAATGATTAAAACTTTCAAAGTGGTTCAGAATCCATGATAAATACGGACACTAACAATGAGGTTGGTTTTCCACAGAATCCCACGTAGAGCTGATTAATTTATTATCGATAATCATGAAAGTAAACACACTGATTTAAGAAATCCTTCTAGAAAACTCATTTATCTCCAGAAATGCACCAGTTCCACCAACCCTAGTAAGAAGCACCACATTCAGCTTGTTCTGGGACAGAGATCAAAAGGCAGGATCTGGTTAATTGAGCAATTTTCACCTGCTCAGACAAGCAATAGCATCAATAAGTACTCAGGCAGGAACATAGCAAAAGAAAGTGAACTTTCAAGAGTGAAATAATACCCATATGTTGAAATGAAGGGGAAAGGTGCCAGTCAAAAGAAAATTTATTAAAGGATTATTACATATTTGCAGGTAATGTTGCAGGCTCAGGTGTATAAAGGTGAACAGGTGACATGGTGTTAATGGAAGGAGGACACTTTTACAGGCGGGTGAAGGTGGCCTGTTTGAAGAGATGATACTTAGTTCAGCCTTTCAGGATGAGAAGCAGCCAGCCAGGGAGACCCTGCAGGCGCCGACAAGAGCGTAGTTCCTGAGACAGAGTCGACCTGGGCATGAAAGCAGGAGCAGAAGAGAGCAGTATAAATAGGAAGCACGCATACTCCTGAGGGTCTGAACAGTTTTCCTTACCTGATGTGGAATGGAAAATTCAGGATTTACCAGCCTTCCTTCCGTCACCTGTACTTTACACTGACCTGCACTTGGGACTGAAAGGGGAAAAAAAAGATTCACTATTGCTAATGAAAAACTTAAAATAAGAATTAGAAACTGGACAAGCTGAAGGTAAAAATATACAATAGCTACAATAATGATAAATATTTAATAATCAAAAAAGAAAGATATGCAGGAGACTGCAGTGAGATAAGGCCAGAAAAATCAGTTATGAAGCATGAGAGTCTAACATGCAGCAAAAATAGTGAAATGGGGTGGATGTTTCTGTCCATCACCACTGAAGAAATGTTGGTGGGAGTTTGATACATTGGATCTGTGGACAGAACAATGATAAATGTAAATGACCAGCAGTTGAGGATGGGGGACTAGGGATAATGTAATTGTCAGATACAAGGAAGTCAATGACTGGGAGGGGAGTGCAGTTTGAATGGAAAGACACTGAATTGTAGTTAATGAAGAATCATGTGGAGAAGTCTTGGGCAGTGTTTTATAATTAATAAGAAACACAAAACAGTGGATTGTCTATGTGTGAGATGCACCATCCTCAGGAAGCGGACTGAAACAAGAAAATGGAAGAGTTATCAGTAGATGCAAATAAAACATGAAATCAAGGAAGGGCAGAGGATTGTGCCTTAGAAGGAATGAAAAATCTACATAAAAGATCAAGAAAGAACCAAGAAGCGAATCAGGATGGTATAATGGCATGGACGACACGGAAAAAAAATGACGTGGAAGGAGGCGGGTTCATCTACATCCAGTGCATCCACAAGTTTAAAAATACGTGGAGGATGTGCTTCAGTCAGTGTCGTCTGGGGCCTGGTAAGGTCACAGCTGGGTTGCAGTAGGTGGTGAATTTGTGGAAGAAGCTAGTAGGAAAGAGAAGGCTGCCAAGAGGCCTGGGGGAAATGAGCAAAAGCGGCACCGAGTCCTTTAAGAGTTATTTGCTGTGGCAGGTGTCAAGGACGCATTCTCAGCAAAACTGACCACAAGGTCAGTTTTACATAGATTGTTTCTATGTAATGAAGATGGTTTGGTTTGAGGGCTCCTCCTGGTTCATCAGTGCTTAACTTCCTTCGGGTTCTGTCCACCAGGACATCATTCTGCCAAGTCAGGTAAGCCTCTGTGAAGGACTTGTGTAGCCCTTTTGATCAGCCAACTGTGTCACTCTGACGCTGCTGAATAAATTCCCTTACACGGCTGGAACGGACCCCTGCTGGGAGCCTCGTAATTTATCATTAACGTCTCTGTTTGGCATTCAGTCTCTGCTACACCTCAAATGCCATTTCACAGATTATATAAATGACCACGCGTGAGCAGTCACACATAAGTAATCACATTGCAGCATCGGACATGCCCAAGCCAGTTGTGGCTTGGAGTAGCTGAGCCCAGCAGGCCTTGCGGAGACCTGCCACTGGGACAGAAACACCGTTGTGGTAATGGCCTTTCCTGCCAGAGTGGTTGTGGTTGTTGCCTCATCACGTGCTCCTTTCGTATTGACAGAGGTGAATAGTGCTCTTGTTGTGTGTTCTCAGGGGGAGGTCAACCAGTGTGTGCATCACGTTTACCCCATCATGATATGGTCCTGGGCCATCTGAACACATGCCAGCTTGTTGTTAGCTAAAGGAATGGAGAGGCATACTTCATTCTATTGCTGTTTGCTGTATTACTATTCGCAGATGCCGTGTGGTTTACAGTTTGAAGATTTGTGGCAATCCTCCGTTAAGCAAGTCTCTTGGCGCCATGTTCCCAACAGCGTTTGCTCACTTCGTGTCTCTAGGTCACATTTTGATATTCTCAAAATATTTCAAACTTTTTTATTTGTTATGCTAATCTGTGATCAGTGATCTTTGATGTTACTATTGCAAAAAGATTACAACTTGTTAAAGGCTCAAATAATGGCTAGCATTTTTGAGCAATAAGGATTTTTAATTAAGGTATATGCATGATTTTTTAGACACAATGCTGTTGTGCACTTAATAAATCACAGTATAGTGTAATCATAATTCCTGGATGCACTGGGAAACCAAAAATCTGACTCCTTTTATCACAATATTCACTTTATTGCAGTGGTCTGGAACCAAACCCACAAAATCTCTGAGTTATGACTATATGTAGGAAAGGTAGGGGTAAACATTAATAGCACTGCACAAAGTAGTCTCTCCTGTGTTGCGTAAACTTGACAGCAGTCCTTCGATTTACATTAGGATTATTACCTCCATTTTCACAAAGAAAGCTAAGGTCGAAAATCCACATAAATGCTCCAGATCACCCAACTCAGTAGACAGTGGTGCCAGTATTTGAATCTAGTTTTGTCTAATATCGAATCTACACTTGCCAGTACAACTACTGGTGACAAAACACGAGCTGTTTTTGAAGGCCTTGTTGTTCCCTTCTTACCCTGAACTGTAATTATTTATAAAAGTAATGGGCATAATTTATTACGTCCTAAAAAGGAAATATTTGCGCACTAAAGTATATGCGGACTTAATTTTTACTAGACTGTGAGGTCATCCAGAGCAGAATGTGGATTTTACTTGTTTATTTTTTAATCTCTGCTTAAATGGACAGCCCTGTAGAAATGTAAGAAATGCTCAGTGAATTAATTAATGAATGGATTTTTTCTTCCCCCCCGGTAAGAAGAGTGTTGGTACCCCAGCTCCCTAAACAGGTCCTTGCAGATACATTGATCAGTATGATCTGGGAAAATAAGAACCTGTGAACTAATAATGTGAGAAGTGACATTTGTTTTGGCCATTAAAAAGGAAATTAAATTTGACAAATCTTTGTTTCACTGTGAGTGCTATACTGACCTGGATCTATTTCTAATGATTAATTCAAATTATTAGGGAGAAAGTTCTCTCACTTTGCTCTTCAGAATACTGATAGAAATTGATCTCAAAGTCGCTGATGCGAAGTGATCTCAATATAAGTAAGTGCAGGACTCATACGTACACCTGATTTAATTACTTAGCCTCTTTTTCTCATATATTTATGTTATATCATAATATATTGATATAATGTATAAATGTTGCATTATAAAATATAGTATAAAAAGAACTACATAATACTAAAATATAAATGTATAAATAGTAGCATTTAATATATACATATGATATAGTTAATCTATTCATTGTATAATATGTATATAATATAGAGAGATATAGAGATCTATGACTTTCAGGATTTCATCATATGATAACAAAAATGAAAAAACTCAAGATAGACAGTGGGAAGGGTTATAGCTGGTGTTCTTTTCTCCTGGAGAATACTTTAGTGCCACTGATTTTCTTGTTCTTGCAGGTGAAGACCGATGACAGAGTGGTTAAGATGGACCTTGGCTTACTCTTCCTAAAGGTACGCAAAATGGATGCTGGGACGTACTTTTGCCAGACAGTAGAGCATAGTTATGTCCACACCATCCGTAAAATCACGCTGGAGGTAGTGGAAGAGGAGAGAGTGGAGGAAATGTTTAACAAAGACTATGAAGAGGACGGGCCTCGCAAGATGCCTTGTCCTGCTCAGAGCAGCGTCCTGCATGGAGCCAAACCCTGGTACAAGGAGTTCTTGCAGCTGATTGGTTACAGCAACTTCCAGAGAGTGGAAGAATACTGCGAAAAGGTATGGTGCACGGATAAGAGGCGAAAAAAGCTTAAAATGTCCCCTTCCAAGTGGAAGTATGCCAACCCGCAGGAAAAGAAGCTCCGTCCCAAAGCCGAGCACTACCGCCTGCCCAGGCACGCGCCGGGCTCCTGATGGGGCCACACCGTCTCCCAGCGTCCGAAGAGTTTATGTTTAGGAACTAAAACAGAAGAGGAGAGAGGAACATGCAGCCATTCTCTGCAGTACTTCAAAGAGATTTCTGTAATACAGAAAGGACTAGGAAGGTGTTATGATAAGTTATTCTACATACTTACTGGACGGGTTAAACCTCACGTTAACTAAATTTTTTTTTCAAGAAACAAGTGTATTGCTTGATGATTTCACATTATATTTGTCCAAAAGTGACCACAGCTGTACTTTTAAGTACTTGGCTGCTTTTCCATGACAATTATTATTTTACCTTTGAGAGACTTAAGATTATTGCAATATTGATGAAAAATTAGAGATTTTCATCATCATGGAAGAAATGTTTTAATTTTTCTGAATTTTGCCTTTCCACCATGATGTAAAATATGTAGAATATCAGATACTCTAACATTCTCATGTGAACCATCTTTTTAAGAATTATATTGGTGTTGTTTAAGCCATGAATTCTATCAGGCAGGTGTGTTGTAATTATTGTAAACCATGGAAGAAAAACTATGGTCATCTTGAGGCATGTGCCCTTAATGAAACATTTATCAAACCACATTGGCAATAGTTATGTTTCATGATTAAAACACATTCTTTCAATTTCACTCCAGTGCAGGAAGAATGAAGTTAAGGTAACTTTTCAGAAAAATAGCGAAGAATGTCAAAACAGATGGAGTGTCAGAACTCTAACTGAAAATATTTTTGCTGCCCTCTTGTGGTAGAAAAGGTATAGTCTTATATCCTTTTAAATTCTACAGATTGTTTAGTTAAGGTTTGAAAGCAGTTTTTCAGTACATACGTCTAGTCCATTTTCAGCAAAAACTAACAACTAAAAATGTGTTAATGCCTATGTCATGTTTTAAGATGGAGATATGTTTATAAATAATTTATTACCTCACAAACCAAAAATGAAGATACTACAGCACTCTGATAGAACTTAAATTGTATGCGTTCTAAATAATCTTCCTTGAAATCTGTAAGATTCCACAAATATAGTTTATTATTTTAAAAAATTAAAGCATTTTTCTCTCAGATATCAAAATTTCCTTTCTATTTTACATTAACAAATAGGAAGATTGTCTTACGAGGTTCACTGAACTACCAAGATGTTCAGAGTAGCATTACTTTTATAAATATTATAAGAAGTTTCTGTTTTTGAGAATGCTTGTTTCCTGAAGTCTTTCCTTTTCCTATTTTATTTAGCCATTAACTTTCCAAAGTATGAAATTCTGAGAGTTTTCATTAAATAAAAACTAAAAACAAGTGAATTACACGTGAAAGCAATTATATTTATTTAAATGTTTATTTTGAATAATACTCATTTCAGTTTTCAAAATTAGCTCATAGGCTATATAATTAAGAAAGTTGACTTGTGATGGTTTGAAAATTTCATTCAAAAATTAACAAATTTAAGGAAGTTTGAAAAGTTCATTCGGGAAGCCACCAAGCTCCAAAAGTTCTAAAGGATACAAATATATGGGAAATTAACACTCTGGAAAATGCAGTTGTTGTTTTTCCCCTAAAAATCCACCAGAGGTCGTTGCTGCCCACCAATATTAACTGAAGATAACGTGTATTTCAGTAAAAACCTGCCCAATGTGGAGCAGTAGAAGCATAACCACAGATCAGAGGGTCCTTAGCAAAGTTTATGTCTGAAATACCTAAAGTGAACAGATAAGGCAATGCACAACTGATTGAATATATTCTTCTGTTAATACGAGAAGGGAAAGCAGGGTTTTCTCCTGTATTCAGTTTTTTTTTTTTTTAATAAGGCAGATGTGGTATAAGTAGTTATTTTAATCTCAGTAGCACACAAGCAGTTTATAATAATGATAGCAACGATGTCAATTGTGGAATAAAATATTTGTTAACTGAAGAGTTAAGACTGAGGAAAAAAGCTTTCTATGACATGTCTTAGGAATTAAACAATCCTACAAACTGTTCAATTCAATGAGATGACAATTTTAACCAGAAAAAAAAAAAGCTTTTAAAAATGCTGACTTGAAAGAAGCCAGATAAGAAAATTTTGAGGACTCAAGTCCACAATTTAGGGGGAGCACTAAATTTCATATACACTATTTTTCCATTTTCTCAGTGTTCGGCTCTGCCTGTGTCTCGGTCTCTGTCTCTCTCCCCTGTCCTTCCTTCCTCATACCCTTTCTTTTGTCCCCCATACATGAGTGCAGGTACACATCCCCCCCATGACATACTTCAAGATAAATCACCATTGCCCTCTCAAAAGACAAACCAGTAACCTGTGTTGCCCTGTCCTTGAGAATCTGCAGCATATCACAAAAACATATTTTCTGTCTATTGTTCTGTCTGGCATTAGAATTCAAATTTAGAATCTCCTTTGAGAAATGCCCATGCTTGGAAAATCACAAATGAATTGATCCCCTTTATCCCCTTTTCCTTGACCTCAGGAAGGGCACATGCCTAGTCACCTGCAAGGCTTGGGGGAATCTAGAGTCTGCCTTGACCCCAGCACATTTTCCCAAGGCACTGTGCCCTCTGGGAACACGCAGATGGGAAAGAATCGTGACCGCTCATTCTAGTTTCCAAGGAGCAGCTCCAGTCAGGGTCAGCCCTGCTTCTTCAGACCTCCTCCTTGATACTTGCTGTTGAGGGGCAGGGTCTCTGAAGAGATTGAGCTGTAACATAAAAAAAAAAACAAAGTACCCCTCTTCTTTCAGTACCGTGTCACCCATTGAGCTAGACAGATGCCCATTAGCGAGGAGGATTTCAACTTAAGTGGATCTTAGTTTATGATTTGTGAGGTCTCTTCCACATCTAACATTCTACATAGCTAACTTTTTCTTTTGTATTTATTACTGAATATTTCAGTGCAAAGCTATCAACTTGGAGAAACAGGGATTAAAAATATAAACACTAATCAGAGCTCTAGAGAAAAGGGAACAGAAAGTCTTTGCCTGCTTGGTAAGTGGCAATGCCAAATATCTTACAGAATTTTTTTCTTTCCTAAAATTAGTTAAGTACTTAGGATCTTTTTATCAAGTGTTTAATGTTTGCTCTAGGGTGTCAGGTTTTGTAAATCTTCATAGTGATTATGAACATTTGTAAAATTTGTAAAATACAGTAAATTGTTTTGAGTGTTGGTGTTAAGCATGAAACAAACACAGGAACTGTTGTCCTTAAAAGGAACTGTCTTTGGCCTGGCAGATATATTAAAAATATTAATTAGCATTGTGTAGCTCTTTAAGATCCCAGGAGAAAGCACCAAAGTCATGGTGACAATGAGCTGATGTCCTTTTTCCTCCATCAGAGTACCACACTGAGTGACTTCTTCAGCAACTGTTGCATTTGAATCAGATATGAATGATAGATTTTTCCATGTACATTTTTGATGGTAGTGTGTTATTTAAGCTGGTCTATTTTATTTTTCTTGGGAAGATAGCATTATAATTTGGCTTGCATTATAAATTGAATGTGTTCTGTTTGTGTTTAAATGGCTTAGTTACAAGCTAGAGGACTACATGGGGGTATTTTTGTCTTTATGGCTTTCTTTTACTTGCTTGCCTGCGTTCATGACAGCATGTGCTATATTATTTCTTCTCACTGACTGTAAGCCATGAGACTTATTACCATCTGGTGGCAAGCTGCAAAGACCACTGACAACACATCTCTTTGACTATCACGTGGATTTGCCACTATGTGCTGCATCATGTGTCTGTATGGTTACGTATAATTTCTGTTTCGTTCAGCTTAGACGATAAAGAAATAAATATTGGCTAAACCTTTAAGTGCTGTCCGAGGAGTGTTTTCTAAGTTTTTGCCAGTTGAACTTGTTTCATACTGTCAAGCTTAAACATAAACACACAGTGTTAGACTTAGCTCTGTTTTTTAAGAAGTTAGAAAAGAACTCATTTCCCTTTTCTTTGAAATGTGTATGTCAACTTTCTCAGGGAGGAAGGAGTTTGTTCATCTCATTATTTTGCTGCATTTGGGTTTATTTATGCCACATCGTGTTTCTAGGACCAGCAGCCAGAAATCCCTTTCAAAGCTGCATCATCCAGTTAAGAGATAAAGAGAATGAATGCTTTTAAAATGGTAACTAGTAGGATGTTGATGATTTTCCGCAAGCCTCAACTTCTCCCCTAATGTATCTAAATTGCTGTGTTCTCTGCTATTTTTGTAAGAACTTGGGGAGGTAATTTAAGTGAGATTGAGTGTTAAATGGCTCCCTCTTTGGGGAGTTTTGTTTTCAAGGCGAATTTTATTGTATGGTAAGTAATTAGTTGTGATGTTTTAAAGGAAGCATTGGGCAGCAGCCCGACATAGTATTTCTGGCAGCTTTATGATATGACAGTGCCATTAATGGTAACCATTTATACATGTTTCAAACTTGCGTTTAATTATCCTGCAGGGCCTAATTGAGTGCAGTATTTGATGAACCTGTTGAAACTGCTTTTTAGATACGTATTCAGTCATTAGTCAATGGAAAGTAGAGAAACAGTTATGGTGACTAGAAATTTCTTACCTGTTATTCAAAGGGAACAAAAGTATGTACTCATCTTTTTATTTATTTAAAAAAATTTTTATTGAAGTACAGTCAGTTACAGTGTGTCAATTTCTGGTGAATAGCACAATGTCCCAGTCATGCATATGCATACATATATTCATTTTCATTAAAGGTTATAATAAGATATTGAATATCTTATCCGTGTTATACAGAAGAAACTTGTTTGTGTTTTTTAAATCTATTTTTGTATATAGTGACTAACATTTGTACCCATCTTTTTATTCAAAAACTGTATACCAGCCACTGGATAATTGCCTAATAATGCCATTAAGCTACATAGATACATAAAAATTGAATTACATTTGTTATGAGAATATGTTTACAATTTTCATTGGAAAAGTTCCAAATCATCATTTTATTTCATGCAATATAACACACAATAAGAATGTAGCTTTTAAATTTTTTTTCAAGTGTTTGAAATGTGAAAACTATTTCTTATTATGAATCTTGAGACTTCTGGTCGCAATGGTATTGGAAAGCCTAGCTTTGATTCAGAGAAGCTGTGGTGATGTAGCAATGATAGATGGTACAGAAAAAGAAAAAAATTATTAAAAAAGAAAGACACAAACAAGACACAGCAGGAAGGCAGCCTTGTGCAAGACAGGAAAAGGGCTCTCATCAGGAGCAAATCAGCCAGTCTCTTGATCTTGGACTTCCCAGCCCCCAGCACAGTGAGAAATAATTGTCTGCCATGTAAGCCACTCCATCTGTGGTATTTTCTTATAGCAGACTGAGCAGACTAAGCACATGAAGGAAAGCATGGACAGAGGCAGCAAGATTAAGGAATGAACAGAAACACACATAACGGGCCTATAAACAGATACTCCACAACGTCTGAAAGTATCTGAAGGTAAGTGAGTATCTGGAAAAAGTGATGAGAAGTGGCCTCTCAGCCCTGACGGCTGGCTTATACCAATTAATTTAGGATAATCAGAGTTTCCAAATTTTAGAAGATTTCTTCTTTGTGGATCAGAATAAATTTGGAGGGAAGAGGGAAACAAAATTATAAACTCAATTTTTAAGCAAAAAGAAAAAAAAATAGAGCTAGTGACAAGCAGGATGATCTCTTGGAGATTCATTCCATAAATTTAACCTGTTTTGAAAGAAAGTTTGAAGAGGTTCTCAACTTTACATGTTTTTTTCTTTTCAAAGCAGCTTAAAACAGTTCAAATTTATTATCTCATGATTTCCACAAATCAGAAGTCCAGGCACAATGCGTCTCAGCTGGCTTGCCTGCTTAGGATCTCAGAAGACCAGAATCAGTGTATCAGCTGCCAGGGCTCTGGGAAAGAATCCATGTTCAAGTTCACTCAGGTAATCCGGAGAATTCTTTTCCTTGTGGTTCCAGGACTAAGATCCCTGCCCTGCTTCATACTCAACACCAGCAATGGACTGTTGAGTCCTTCTCAGGCTTAGAATTTCTCTGACTTCCTCTTAGGCTGCATTTCTCTACCTCCAGCTGGAGAAATGTCTCTGCTTTTAAGGATTTGTGTAATTAGACTGAGCCCGCCCAGATAATCCAGGCTAATCTTACTTTAATGTTTGTAACCTTAGTTACATTTCCAAAGTTCCTTTTGCCATGTAACAGCTTATTTTCAGATTCTGAGGATTAGAGTGTGGGCATATTTCAAGGATCCTGTAAATACTCTGGCCCCTAAAGCTTCACATTCCTCCCAAATGCAATATACATTTACCCCATCTCTAGGTCCCCAAATGCCTTATCTCACTACAGCTTGAGGTCAGAAGTCTCAAATCTTATCATCTGTTTCTAGTTCAGGTATGAATAAGGCTCTTGGTATATCATCAAATACCTTTCTAGGGCACAGTTCTTTCCATCTGCGGCCCTGTAACACTAAAGGAACAAGTTATCTGCTTCCAACAAACAGTGATGGGTCAGGCATAGGGTAAAAGTTTATAGATATTCTGGCTCAAAGAAGGAGAAAATGATAGATAAAATGGAGTCACCAACCCAAAGCAAGTTCAGAATTCAGCTGGGTCACCTCCATTAGGCTTCAAGAGCTGGGAATATTCTTCTGTGGCTCTGCCCTCTGAATTTCCATCTTACCCTGTGGACTCTCTGTCTCATTCTCTGGACTTCTTTTCAAAATGCCAAAATCAAAGACATGACTTTACCTGGAAAAAAGATAATATGAAGTACACAGATAATTATCTCAACTTCCAATTTTATAAAATCATGTTTTTCCTGTTAACGGCAGGATGATGTGTAATTGACAGATAATGTTGAATGAATTGTGCTGACCATAGCATTCTACCAGTTTAGTAAATAAAAATGCTAAGTTCACAGTTGTATTTCCTAAAAGTGTGGAAAACTGAAGTCAAGGCAGAATTTGGGAGGAAATAATCATATCAAGTATTTTTTATTCATAAGTACCTATTACATTAAGTAGTAAATATTTTCTAAGTATTCTGTCATTTAACACTAAAACAAAAACAATCTCTTTGAGGTAGGTATCTTTATTTGCAGTTGAGAAAACAGGAATAATTTGTAGATTTTTATGTACAAGGAAAGAAATTAAATTCTATTTACATAAAAGCCAAAGGGGTGAACCTTTGGTCCCCAAAGGGGACCACCTGATGATGTGGGAGGACTTCTTTGCGTGGTGATTATGTAAACATGTCTTCACCATTCTAATTGCTTTTAGTCCAGGCCTCCATTTTTCCTCTCCTGAATTTTTTATCACAGTCCTCCTCACTGTTCTCGCTGCCTTCACTGTTGCCTCCTCCTCATCCATTCTTCACCCAGCAGTCAGAATCATCTTTCTCAAGCACAGATTGGATCCTGTCCTACTTCTGCTTCTTAAAAGCATTCAGTGGCTCTGTATGGTTGATATAAAGCTCCAATCCCTGAAGTTGGCTTTGCAACTTCTTGAGTTAACTCTGTCCAATATCCATGCCCCACTACCCTCTTTATCCTCCAGAAGACTTCCACACCAGGCTTGGGTCAACATCCACGCCAGGGAATCTGGAAAGGTAACTTCTAACCCCATAGTCAGAAACAAGTACACCTTTAAGGAAGAAAGAGAGTGCCAGAGATAGCTTTTGAGCAGGTGAATAGCAGAACCTGCTACAGACATCATGCGTTAAGGCAACAAAAAGTTAACTTGAGAAATCAAGTCTAAGTTAATAATACTGCAGTAGAACAGTCTAGAAGCTCATCCATTCTCCTGAACTAGTAATCTAGAGCATTAACTCCCTATGTAAGAATCCAAATTTTGGCAAAACATTATACTCAGGCGGTGTAAAAAAGAAATCAATTATTTTACTAGTAAATGCCCCACGTTTGAAATTTTGCTACAATAGATTATGAGAAAGTAATATTTGGGCAAGCTTTTTGAAAATAGGTTAGTAATGAATAAAGATTTATTACACATAATTGAAGCAAAATGGGAAAACACTGACACCAAAAAGAGTATTCGGAATTTACATGTCATAAGACATAAAGGGCAGCACATTTTTTTCTTGCCAGGCAATTCTTGAAGAACAGATGGTGGAAGTGGAGACATTTTTGGAGCACTCTTAGAGTGTTTGCTCCTAGTCAGTTCTGCCACCGTTTGTCTCAGGAAATCTCATCTTACAGACTGTAAAGCAACAGCTCCAAAAGTATGGGAGAGGCAGCCTGGCCTACGCCAGCACATCAGGGTGCTGGCGCTCATTCTGGTAAGTAACTTAGAAACACCACTTAGTTTCTCTGCTTCCGAATGTGTGAGATGTGTTTCAGCTTCTAAATATGGAAGATAAGGTGGTTGAACCAGATGATTTTGGAATAGTTAGCATTTATAGCATTGGTCCTATAAAAGGGAATTTCAGTGAAAAGACCACGATCAAATATCTTCTGGAGAAGAACTGACTCTTTAGTATGGAAGCCAAATGACTATCCTCTTTAAACTGTTTTTTTCTAAGCTTTATTGACATATAGTTCTGTAAAATAAATGGTACATATTTAAAGTGTGCAATTCGGTGAATTTCCGCACATGTATATACATCTGTGAAACCACCACCACCCAAAAGTTTCCTGATGCTCCTTTTCCTATCTCCCTCCCCTGCCCAGGCAGCCTCTCATGTTTTCTAACACTACAGAAGACTTTGCATTTTCTAGAACTGTACCTAAGTGGAAACATGTAGTATGTGCTCTGTCTGTCTAGCTTCTTTCACTCAGCATAATTATATTCAGACTCTTCCAAGTTGGTGAGTGTATCAATA